CGCGTGGTCGTGGAAATGAGAAAATAAGAGCGACGAGGAAGGACCCGAAAGTGCTTGAAGTAACGCGGAAAGGTGGAAAGACTGTCGAGATGGTTGCACTCAGCGCTAGGCATTCGAAATGAGTGAAATCTTAACGTACCACGCGTTACTCCACTGTTAGAGGATCATCAAGTACGCTGAGCGAAGTCTTGACTGAAATTTAGGAAAATAAATTTTTCTTAGCATGTCATATTTAGTAACACATTAATATAGATAATGAGTCTAATTAGAGGCTGATTTTGTTCGTATACTTAATCCTATTAAGTGTTTTAGATTATATACATGCATAGCGTCTTTGACAAATTATTTTTAATTTTGTAAATTAAAGATAAATTTGCTAGCAATTCTCTGCTAATTTTTAGTAACCATCTTGTAACTTTCAGTAATATTTTAATATTTTCAATAACCTCATAAGTATTTTTGTATACATTTACCGTGATAAATGAAGAACGTTAAATTCTATATGATTTTAGGTAAGCATGTTGGTACTCAGTCTAGAATTATAACTAGACTCTATCTACACAACCTACGATTATCACGTTTGGTCCGTAATTCGTACTCCGGATATAATTTTACTGACAAGGAGAGTGCAAGTCCGTCGGGTCACCGATTTAGTTGAAACTTTGCAGGTTTGTAGATATCGTCATACAGTTTAAGAAAATATATCATTATAGTCGTAAGTACTTAATAGTTTTTGAGATATTTACAATTAAAATTTTATTACTTCTTTAATTATAGATTTATTTCCACGAATTTGTAAATGAAGTTGTGGCCTAATGGGGATAGTCGAAAATTCGTATGCTGAAGGATCGGGGTTCGATTCTTCTCGTCCCCATAGTTCGTAGTTTTTTTTCAATCTACTTTTTATTTTGTATTTATTTTTCGCCTCTGAAATTATTGTAAATAAACAATTATAAATAAAATTTCGTAATGAAAAAATTTATTTTTTACGCTTTCTTATGCTAGTATATATTTATTATGAAATAATAAGAATATTATGCAAGAAAAACACTTTTCTATAGCAATCTTATTTACTACAGGAAATACGAAATCTATCGCTCATGTAAGTATTAATTATTAAATTAAACATTGTATAAGAATGTTGTCTATAATTCCGACTTTGCTGTGCAGCTAAAAATGTCATGAATTAATTACAAAAACTTGAAAATTCATTAATTTTCTACTGCCAAATTGATTTATTAAGATGGTAAATTTTTATCGTCTATTAAAATGAAAAATTGTACTGTCTGCGCCATCTATGATTTTGGACCCGAAGCTCGAAAAGTAATAGGAATATAGAATAGGCAAGGAGGTCGTCGAAGAGCTCGTCACGTGACAGACAAGGACAGAGAGCGGATAGAAAAGGATAGAATGGCTCCGGCAGTGAAAAATTATTAATTACTCCATTTCTGTAATTAATTTATGAACTTTTATAATTTCATTGCAAAGCTGGAACTTCAGGCTACATTCTTATATAATATTCGTAAAGAATTTAACTCTAAATTGTTAGTTATTAATTTTTGTTTGATGGCGTCTAACGGCGTCTATGATTTCGTAACGACGACCATCACGATCTCCCGTGAAAATATTTAATACTCAATGAAACTAGAATCAAAATGTGAACAAAAGTGATATGAGAAGATTCGCAAGAACATTGTTTTTATAATGAGTGCACAAAGTTTCATAAATTAATTGCGTAAAGGATAGTAATTAATGAAAAA